AAAAAAAAAAAAAAAGAGGTTAGAGTGGGAGAGAGCCAAAGCATAAGAGACTGTTGAGAACTGAGAACAAACTGAGGGTTGATGGGGGGTGGGAGGGAGAGGAGGGTGGGTGATGGGTATTGAGGAGGGCACCTTTTGGGATGAGACTGGGTGTTGTATGGAAACCAATTTGACAATAAATTTCATATATGAAACACACACACACACACAAATAAAGGAACATTTGGGTGTTGGCCATTAACAAAAATAAAATAAAATTATGGCCTCCCCAAGGTAAAAATAAATAAATAAATAAATAAATAAACAAACAAACACTAACAAAGAAAAAACCCACTGAGTGAAATGAATTGAAAGTTGTGTGTGCCAAGGTAGAACATACTTGCTAACAGTGAGAGACCCGTTTAATGAATATCTGCTAAGGTATAGATTTATGCACAACAAAATTCTGTGTTTGACAGTTTTTTACTAGTCTGCATTTCAACTTTGTACAAAAAGCTAATAATTTATCTTGGTTGGCCATTCTTCCCAAATGCGTTTAATCAGTGATAAGAACAACAAAAAGAATTCATTCTATGCCTCACCCTTTATAGTTTTCTGTATGCTTTTTTCTGTGTTTGAAATAAAGTTGCTCTTTGGGGAAAAAATATAAAGGCTTTCATGTGTATATCTATCATAACCAGGTAATCAGAACGCACGCACATGCACACGCACACACAGCACCTACTTTAGTCTTACGCTATACCAACGTTTCAGAGAGGCCATCTAGAAGGTCTACTGGATACCTAAGTAAATAGCGTCCAAGGTTTAAAGATGGGGGGAGTAGGAAAGAAAGATGGACGTGGTAAGCAGCACATATTTCAAAGCCCACTTTTAAGCACACGACATTATGAATATTAAAAAAAAAAAAAAGGATGCGGGGTGGGGGAAGGCAATTCAGCATTTTCTGCAAGAGCACTGGGCAACATTCAACGCATTAGGAGGCTGTGCTTGGGCCCACCCACAGCTGTCACAAACAACCCGAACTACGTCAGACCTCAGTTAACATTTCATTTTCTCCTTTCTGAGAAAACCTAAGCATATCAAATCAAGAATTAAATGAGCCTGGGGGGCCAGGCTGGGTGGCTCAGTCAAAGTGTCCGACTCTCGATTTTGGCTCAGGTCATGATCTCACAGTTTGTGGGTTTGAGTCCTGTATTGGGCTGTGTGTGGAGCCTGCTTGGGATTCTCTCTCTCTCTCTCTCTCTCTCTCTGTGTCCCCCCCTGCTCATGCCCTCTCTCTCAAAAATAAATAAACTTAAAAAAAATCCAAATTAGGAGAATTCATCGACCCCACGGTAGGATGGTTAGAGTAGGATGGCTACACAGTTTAAAAATTTAAGTTCTTTCGAAATCAAGTCGTGTTCCATCATACCCCCAGAGACTGCCTTTTTTAGGGAAGAAACCTGATTTACAAATAGTTATGAAAGACTTGTCTGTTTATTCTGAGGAGCTGAGTGCTCATCAAACGTCTTCTGACAGGGCCGTGAAAAGAAAGAGCTTTCCGCGCGTGAAGAAGAGAGCAGATAAAGACAGAATCATCAGGTACTGACCAACTGGAATCAGGCCCAGGACGAGATCGCCTTGTTTTCCATGATCACTACGGTGTTTTTATGTGCCCCCTCCCCCGCCAGAGAGCCAGAGACATTCCCACTGTGAAGGACAGACCTCTTGATTAATTCCGTTTCATAATTTGCACGTTATCGTCGCAACGGTGACTTTTAGGCATTTACTGACCCACCGATCCAAACACAGAATAAACCAACAGAATGAACTGAAACCAACTGTCCCGAGTGTCCGCGTCATCCTCAAGCAACCCCTGCCCTCAGGTAAGCACGTGCAAGGGAAGGGGAGCCTCTCTGCGGTCTGGAGGAGGGGGAGACCTGGCACCCACAGGGCAAGCGATGTGCGTGTGCTCTAAGGGAATCCGCTCAAAGAGTTGCTCCACTCGAGGATACCTCCAGCTTTGGCCTCCTTCTTGCCTTGCTGCAGGAGGCAGCAGACCACACCTGTGTCAAACCACAGCTGCTCAGCACACCTGCCTTTTAAAGGCCGAGTCAGGCAGACAGGCACACACGGGAGGCTGCAGACCATTTCCGAGCATCCTTACGCTCTCTGGCGCAGTTCTGAAACTCACATGGGTTTCCTTAACATTCTCTACATCAACTTCTCTTTTCCCCCGGTCCTCTGAAGCGTGACAGATTTTCTCTAGAAGCCTTTTCGGCGGCACCAGCCGCAGCCACTTAGAAGGCATCCCGGGTCGGGGTCAGCGGGGCCACGAGTGTTTGGAGACAGAGGTGTGGCGGGAAGCGCCCTGCTCTCGCTACGAATGCAGCAGATTCGGGGAGGGCGTTTCCAATCTGACATTCGAGTCGCGTCTCGCTGTGTTTAACACCCCGAGACGAGGCGGGCTCCTGGAACAAACTCATTTTAAGGGCCCCTATTTCCCACTTGCTTTTGAGAGCCGCGCACACGGATTCCATCATTACTGCCTTCGGTCACGCCGGCCCAGATGCTAACTGCAAAACTGACTCAAAGGCTGCTCAGGAAATCTCGGGCGTCCTCGCCCGGGAGCAGTGGGGGATCGCTACCGAGCTCGGACTGGTGTAGAATTAAGAATTAATTGTTCTGATTTTTTGCTTGTTTGGTATGCCGTATGGAACACGTGCCTTTTTATTTTCTAACCTGGATTTTAAAACTTTTTGTAAAAAGACAGATGGCTTATTCTCTGTACTGTTTCTTTGGACCATGTTGCATTTGCTCGACTCAGAGCAGTGGGATTGCATATGATTGCACGTAAGCTTACAAGACAGAGATGCCTTTCTGTTATTCACCAGGAACCTGGGAATCGATACCTTCAGAGCTGTCTTTTCAAGGGAA